ACCAGTGCCATAATGATGGTAGGAAACAAAATGTTTAAATGGCACTAAACGCAAATCCGTTGGCTTTAGGAAAGTCTCATGGAGACAAATAGCCAACGGATTGTATTGTTGCATTAATAGCTGAACTTCATTAAGATTATGACTTAAACCTCTACAATTACATTGTATTATATTATTTTTTTGATGCATTGTCAGGGTGGTTAGACTGGGCTACGAGGTTTGCGGTAAGGGTGGTTGAGAACTTCCGCATCAACCTCGGAAGCCTCCATATCTATATTATCAGATATGGCAGACTTCAAAAGATCTCTTCCTCCCTTTTTGGAGGAGGATCCATTTCTTTTTGCCAGACTTGTCATTTTTAGAAAGACTTTCGCTATGCCAGTCCCTTTTGGCTGAATGTCTTTAGTTGGTAGACTTAAACAACTATCATCAGCTACTGACTTCTCAGTCTGAGAAGCCTGGGTAGCGGATGATGTAGATGGTATTGCCTTAGAAGTAGATGGTAATAAGGCCGGAGATGCTACTGGTAACCGTGTCAACCAAGTGATGTCAGTTTGGCATTCCACCGATTTGGTAGAAGCCTTAACGACATTAGCAAAAGTCCGGAAGGAGTAGATGGAGTTGCATCTTTTACAACCTTCCTCGCTTCGGGATACGATAACTTATTTTCTATTTTTACTTTATTAATTTTTTTTTCAGTTTGCCACTTTGGACAGTCTTTGGAAAAGGCAACATGCTTTCCATTGCAATTGCAACAACAAGGAGCTTCGGTGCAATCCTTGATGTCACACCCAGACTGACCACAACGCACACACCGAATCGAACTGTTACAAGTTCGAGTTCCATGCCCGAAGCGTTGACAGTTATAACATCTGAGAGGATTTGGTATATATGGTGAAATTTTAATGTTCAGATAGCCTACTTTGATTTCAGATGGTAAATCAGGTCGGTTGAATAAAAGAATAAAGGTGTTGGTAGGAATTAATTGGCCGTCACGACGGATGGATATTCTATCAACGTTCGTGACTCCAATATCCTGTAATTCCTCCTTCATTTCCTCAGGAGAACATCCGTTGAGATCTAGGTGTCGAATGACCCCTTTGGAAGAGTTCAGAGAGGAATGAGGTTAAACTTTGATAGGGATATTAGCCAATGTAGATGATCTAAATAACAGCTCAGAATGAATTTTGCGTGAGCATTCAACCAACAAAGACCCATTGCGTAATTTTTTTTGTAGATTTTGGTTCACTGGCAAGTCAATAAAAGTTCTGGGTGGAGCAAATAAATTCTGAACTTTTATTTTTATTTCTTTACCCAATTGACCCAAGCCCGCTGCTTCTGAGTCAATGAAATGATTTGGAAGAAAAAAGATACTATTACAAGAAAAAGTTGAATCTGATCTGACCACCGACTCATAGGCTCAACACGACAAGCCGCTTGACTAGTGTGGGCCACAGTGGCCACCCGTCTAGGAATCCTCTGGCCCAAAGTGATGCATTGGGAAGTATGTTACCCTCAACCACTAGGTGTCCATTCAAAACTTACACGGGTCGCACCTCACGGCAAACGAGGAGCACCAATTTAGTCGCCTCTTACGACACACAATGGGGGGCAGTGGACCTATTCTTAACCCCGGGCCACTGGGAGGTTCAGCTGCAGAACTCATTGGAAACATCTATTAAGAATTCTTGGAAAAGTTTTAGATAGGTGTCACCTGATCCCATACCTTTGCCAGACATTTTGACCACCAAATAAATCTATTATTTAATGAAATACTTAAAAAAGAAAATTCATCTATTGGAAAAGTAGTTGATTACTTCTATAGAGTGGAATTCCAACATAGAGGATCTCCATTTATCCATACATTATTATAGGTAGAAAATGCTTCAATTTATGGGCAAAGTAAAGATGAAGAAGTTTTAAACTTCATTGATAAAGTAATGACATGTAATATAGAAGCTGATGATAAAAACTTAAAAGGATTAATTTCTTACCAAACTCATAAACATTCCCATACATGCAAGAAAAAAAAACAAAAGATTTGTAGGTTTGGATTTTCCCAGCCTCCAATGATGAAAACAATTATTTTGAGACTTTGAATAAGGCAGAATGATGAACCCCTTTTTGATCTGAAGTATGGATATTAGTTATAGCGTAGAACTTTTTTTTTGTGATTTTTTAGTGATGATATTTCAGTGCGCATCGTATTAATTGAATGTTCATAGTAGTATCTGTTCCATATTTTCTTATGAACTCTTCGAAACTAATCATATTTTAAAAGTCAGTTTTTTTAAGTTAGTTTTGATAAATTTGCCCAAAATTTCTTCACCATGTAGATCTACTAAAGTATAAGTTGGTGGTGAAGTATTATTAACTTTATCAATAACAAATATTTCATTCATCCAATATCCAACGTAACCTTTTTGGAATTAACTTTAATATCTATAGATACAAACTCGATTTCCAACTTTAAATTTGGGTTTGATATTTAATTAGTTATCTCATTTTCAAAGATGTTTTGTACGTTAATTGACAATTGATATTGGGATTCTTTGAGGCTTGTGTAGGAGTCACACCTATAGATGACTGTATTTTGTTATTATATTCGACGATAACAATTGGTAATATTTTAAGCCATGTTTGGGAATTCAATTCTGTGAACTTTTTGAATAATTTGTTTAGTTTCTATTAAAATCTCTCAATAACTACGGCTTATATGTACAGTAAATTTCAAATCCAAGAGATTTCATAATTTTGTTATAAAACTCGGTTCTTTTATCTACCCATAACTTTTTGGGTTGTCTGTCAGATTGTTTCATAATTGTTTCAAAAGCATGTTTGACTGACATTCCTGATTTGTTTTTTAGAGGAATAACCCAAATATATCTTCTTTCAACAGGCACATTAATTAAATCAGCTGACCATCATCTTTGGCGTAAACTTTAACTTTTTAGTTTTTAGTTTTTCTGAATTCTTTATGAATTTCATCTGCTATTCCCATGCCTAATTTCATTTTTGATTTTAAAAGTCTTGTGACTATAGCTCTTTCAACCTTTTCTCTAAAAGTAGGATTTGGAATAGATTCCAATTTGTGAATCATTTGTTGATCCGCTTTATGTCTCGATTCTAAGTCTGTATGATCTCTGTATAGAATATCATGTTTTAGTGCTGCTTGATCTATTCTGTTAATACGGCTTAAGTGTACAGTAAATTTCAAATCCAAGAGATTTCATAATTTTGTTATAAAACTCGGTTCTTTTATCTACCCATAACTTTTTGGGTTGTCTGTCAGATTGTTTCATAATTGTTTCAAAAGCATGTTTGACTGACATTCCTGATTTGTTTTATGTCTCGATTCTAAGTCTGTATGATCTCTGTATAGAATATCATGTTTTAGTGCTGCTTGATCTATTCTGTTAATACGGCTTATATGTACAGTAAATTTCAAATCCAAGAGATTTCATAATTTTGTTATAAAACTCGGTTCTTTTATCTACCCATAACTTTTTGGGTTGTCTGTCAGATTGTTTCAAAAATGTTTCAAAAGCATGTTTGAATGACATTCCTGATTTGTTTTATGTCTCGATTCTAAGTCTGTATGATCTCTGTATAGAATATCATGTTTTAGTGCTGCTTGATCTATTCTGTTAATATGACTTATATGTACAGTAAATTTCAAATCCAAGAGATTTCATAATTTTGTTATAAAACTCCTTGTTTGGGAATATCGTTTGAACTTAGTCGTAAATCTAAAGGGGTTCCTGGGCGAATGTAGTTGTGCCCTCGGAGATGTTTTTCGCCCGAATATTTAGCCCAAGGAAATCCAGGAAGTTTAGTTAGTTAGTTGACTATTTGATTTTCAAAAGGGTTCATCCTTGGGTAAAAATAAACAATTTCATGAAGCTTCGTCCAAATCTGTCAAGAATGGTGCTTTCTGAACTAGTTTACAACCTAAAAATTGAACGGGATAAGCAGTGGCAGTGCCACAGACTGCCCCCCCTCGCAGCCCCGAAGGCTAGTTTTTCGGGCAAGGCATTAAAAAACTTTTTTTTTTGAACGGCCCAATTTTATTATTTTTTTTTGGAATTTAAAAATGAAATCATATCTTTGCCCGAATATCCTATACTATAACTGTATTTTTTTAAATTGATAGCCCGATTGTATTATCCTATAATAATAATTCATATTATTTTACATATTTCAAAAATTGAAATTGCAGCCCGATAGTAGAGTTTAGAACTTCTTTTACACAACCAAAAAAAGGCAATTCAGGCACAGATTTCAATCTTTTTGTGCCCGAATTGTCTTAAATTAAGATAGTTCGGTAAGGTTTCACCTAACAAGTTAACAAATTCCTTGGCTTACTTCCCGTGGAAAATAGATTATTTAATAATCACATTGTTTTTTTGTATAAAAAATAGTTCTAAACTCTTAATAAAACCAATAAAAAAAGTTTAATAAGGTTTCAACTAACAACACACGAGTTCCCTGGCTTAGTAAGGAGAAAAGCTATGTATGACTAAAGTTGATAACTATGATAATTGAAATTAAAAAAAAAAAAAAATCGAAATAATAAAATCCATACGAACATAACAGCCGAAAATCTCACCCAACATTGGGTGAAAACAGTACATCCCGTAAATTAAACTGAATACTTGTGGATCTCCTAAGGGGGGTAGTATCATGTGTTCTAGAAAGAGTGAAAATACTCTGCCAATAACAAGTGTTTCTTTCGAAGAGTTTGCAAAACTCTCATAACTAAGTTAGAAATTCGGGTAACCTCAGCTATCTCACCCCCCCTGGGACGTAAAACTGGCTCCGCAACTGGGGATAAGCACAACGGCTATATTATCATATTTGATTTTTTTGATTTTCAATAGGGTTTATCCTTGGTTGATTTCAAATACTCGCACAAAACTTGTCAAATTCTGCCATAAAACCAGCTCTTCTATCGTTTCCCCAATAATTGTGGACGGACGAATTAAGAGTATACATTACACAGAATTTAAAATAATAATTTACTTCACCTATTTTTAGTATTTCTTTTATTCCCTGTTTGTGAAGATGATTAATGTGAAAATACCATGAACTGGATCCAGTACCAGTGCAAACCGTTACACCAGAACTTTTTTGTTTACTTTTTGCACCATTATCACATTGAATTTCATAGTAAGATACCCTGAAATAAAAAACATAATCATATGTTTTGTGAAAGCCAATGGCTCAGGTTTTGTTTCTTTCTCAACTGGTCTACGTAATAAGCCGTGATAAGTTAAAAATCTTTCTCTCTTAGATGGTGTTTAATCCTTACTTTGTTATCTTCTTTCTATTGAAAAAAAAATTCACGTAAGTGGAAATAGTAGCTTTTGCTGAAATGCCTCCAAGTTTGAAATACATGTTCATGTCAGAAACATTCAATTAATAATCTGGAATTCGTCATCCTCGATAGGATCAAGTCGGCCACATAAAAGTATATCGTAGATTTTTGTTTTTAGAATAAGCTGTAACTATTTTTTTTATAAAAAATAGTGGGGAATATATTTTGTAATTCTGAATCTTTTGATAATACGGGATGCTTTGTAAGAAATACTAGTAAATGGGATAATTTGAGAGTCATGTGAAATGGTTTGTAGTTGGTTCATCCAAAAGCTCTCCTTGTATAGTCTGGAACTTTTAGGGTTGGTGTCTTTTTCAGAGATGACTTTTTCAATTGATGAAACTTTCATATCTGAGTTGAAATGGTTGTCAATAGGTTTGTCTAGATGATGGGAGATGTCGAAACGATGACCATTGATTTTTTCAAAGAATTTTTAGCGTCGTTTAAGTCTTGTAAAGGGCATTTGTTGCATGAAATTAGGTAAATAATATTCATACTGGTACAAGAAAGTTGGCCATTAATAATGAATTGTTTACTGTTATGTTTATTAGAAAAGTAATTAGTTGTTAAAATATGCTCACAGCTGTGATCCGAAAGATTACGTTTTCATCGGAACGAGGTTTATATTTCTATGCTCAATTTCTGCCCAATTTTTGCATTTGATGCTGCTCAGATATTAATTGTTTATTTTGAACCCCACTCATAAGGAGGAAGAACCCTTTGTGAAGGTGTTCTTCCAAGTTTTGCATCATTTGGCAATCCTTACCCTTCAACAGCAAGGCCAACCAGCGTTTACCTTCAAACGCAAAGTCTCTGAGTTGGATAGTTTTATCCGTCCAGCAATGAAAACATCAGCTGTCGACGCGAATATTAGATCCCTCAATCGGACATGGCTCTGTAAGGTTACGCAGGTCCTGATCGACCATTACCAAACCACACTTCAAGAGAAGCTGACCACCATTCGTACCAAGTCTTTATCATCACCTGCCATCGACCGCATCGTTTCTCATGCCCTGTCCTGGGCCCGTCGCTCCTATGGGAAACGTCTCACTCAAGCTGTAATCTCCAAATTCTACCAAACAATCAACGAAACAAAGACCAGAGTAACCATATCTCTACCAACTGAAATGGACACTACACCTGCACCATCTAGAGCCACCACACTGCCGAACCAAACCCCTAAACGAGCCCGAAGTTCACCTACTCCTAGTCCAGCAGACATAGGTAAACGCTCTCGTAGAGAGGGCACACCCCTTCTCTTTTCACTTTCAGACTCGTCTTCCCCTTCAACACCATCTGAATCTTCACCGCGTGATCCAGGATCCGCCAACCTTTCTTCCTTCTGTGCGTTTTTGGACCAGCAAACCACCCCTCAGTCTCCATCCAAGTCGAGACGTGTATCCAGACCTTCCCCCCCTCGAACCAGATCCCAGTCCGTTCCCAATGCTACAATTCTAACAACTACCAAACCAGTACCAATCACACCGTCGACGACCCACTACCACTATCCACTACCAAACCGTATTATCACCAAACCATTATGGAAACTACCTGCTCTAAAGAAATCTACCTTAATAATTGGATCATCTAACCTTAATCGAATTACCAAAACCAGTTCAGACACCGAAATACATTCTTACCCCGGTGCCCAAATCCATCACATACAGTCAATCCTGGAATCTTACGACCATGATCCCAAACCTACTACCATTATTCTTCATATAGGCCTCAACAACCGTGATCAGATACCAAAGACCTCCTTTAACCAAGCCCAGAAATTAATCGCCACAGCCAACAAAACCTTCCCAAACTCCAAGATCCTCTTCAAATGTATACCTATTTCAAATAAAATCTCGAAGAAAGCACAACAGAACCTCAGCACTCTCAACAACATGATGATGGAGTCCAGTATCAACAGCGCAACAATCTTACCACCCTACGAAGAAGAATTCGAAACAGTTGATAATCTTCATTGGTCTCCAGAAACAGCAAACAGCATCAATTTTCTGGATACACCAGCTTCAAGCATCGAGTAAGTCTTTAAACTAATTACTGGGGATAAAAATACTGAGAGGCCACCGCTAGGCCAAACTGTAGTTAACTTGAGCCGCAAAATTCTCACACCCCTTCAGCATTCAATCTTAGACCGTGGACTCTGGCCATCCATTGAACGATTTCAACGAAATCTTAGCTGCACATATTTTTTTCGAAACCACCCCCACGTGGTGCTAGAACAATGTTTATTCCTAAATCCACGTGGACACCCCCTCAGGCCGCCATCCATCCTGAAATATTGAAAGCATTTGCGAGTATGAATAGCCAAACAGTGAACCTTTCCATAACACACGAAAAGCCTAATCTCACACGAGTGGAACGTGAAGCGTTAAACTTACTTAAGAAAGACGATAGCATTGTTATTAAAAAGAGTGACAAAGGTTCATGTTGTGTCATTCTGAATAGGGAGGATTACGTTTCAGAAGCAGAGAATCAACTGATTAATCCTAAACATTATGCCATTTTACCGAAACCAATTTTCAAAGAAACTGCTAACATGATTAATAATATTCTTGCCGATTTAGTCAAAACTAGTTAT